CATATTTTATCCCTTGCGAAATTCATGTTGTCTTGGTATTCATGTAGGATTTGGGGATGACTGTATGCATCTGCAGTATTTCGAAGGCGATTATCCAGGATTGATCATTGTTTTGGAAAAGAATGATGGAAGAGTTCTTCCACAATTATGTTAACATGAATGGGTTGTTTAATGCCTTTGAGACGTAAGGGATGAAATGTATGGCGAATACAAATGCGACGAGATGCAGAGAGAGCAGATGGACCAATAGCAAAGCGTTTTCTGAGTTGAAGGATGTAGTGTGCTAAGAGACGTTTTTGGTTCAGGAATATTTGCATAATCGAGTTTTTGGTTCATTGTTTGTCACGGACGAATAGGAACGACGTTTTGGTTCGTAAGTGGATTTATGTTGCCTTGCCGTATCATTACGATGCATACGAGCAGGGGGGCTGTTAGATATACTCGTAGCATAGTAATGTGGTTGAGTATGGGACATGGATCTACGGAGATTGCAGTTGGTAGATCGCGGAGGAACAGGGAGTTTCTGCTTGGTTTCTTCGGAGATTCGATGAGTGATCTGAATTGCGTGACGGATAGGTGTGGTGACGCCCTACTCTTCGGCTGCTCGGCCTCGAGTGGTCTCTGCCCTTCCCTCTTCCCTCTAATACAAGACTTTCCCATCTCGGCCCTCAATGGCCGAGCTGCCTTTCTCCACAAACCTACAAGCTTCGGCCTACCCGGTTTATCCAACAAGCAGGATACACTACATGCACTGGTGAGCGCTCCTCTGTCCAGCAGCAGCAGCAGCAGCAGCAGCAGCAGCAGCAGCAGTACATCGTACCCCAGCCGCACCTTGTCCGCAGCAGTAAGAATACATGTCCAGCTCCGTCGTTTGCGTCCTTCGCGGTGCGTATTTTTGAAGGGGGTATCCACAGCAGCCATGCATATCGAAGACAAATGGTTATGAGATACAGCAGTAGCTTGTGGTACGTGCCAGTTGATGCTACGATGTGTTGTTGTCGTTGTTTTCTTCACATTCAACTCGTGTCAGTTGCTAATCCCAAAATCTAGCAAAGGCTCGGCCCGTGGTCACGAAAATGGTAGAGCCATTAGAAGATCTAAAGAACACGCACACTATTTGCAAGCAAAGGGTGCCCAAGCCCGAGGAGGTATACCTACAATCCCTGCAGCATGTTTGCATGCTCACAAGTAAACTACACGCCCACACACTACAATTCGACTATGCATCTACAAACAGCAGCATCACCCCCCCTTGCCGCACTTAACCAAAATGAATGTTTGTCGACAAAGCGTACTGCTGTCTGAAGTGCTGTCTGTACGATAATAGCACCGTGGTGCATGGTACACAAGCTCGGGGCATGCAGCTGCTGTCTGAAGTGCTGCCAGGACGAGTTCGTGGACATTCAATGAAGAAGAACAACCAGCCAAAGCCATCATTGCAATTGACAATCACCCGAATCTATCCAAATCATCTGTGTTAGACACAGCAGCGTAAACATCGACACTGACTAGGAATCGTTCCACATTGAAGGGGTCTTCCACCATGCAGGTACACAAATAGGCACCCGGGTTAGCCGCGCCATCTCTGCCGCGTCTCTCTACAAAACCAGTGACGTCATCACCCACACCCAACACCTACATTCAGGAAAAAAAAAAAACGGAAAATAATTGACGACACAAGAGATGTTTGTCCGTGCGTTCGATGCCGTCCGCATGCTCCGGTTCCGCTGCTCCGATGCCGCTGCTCCGGTGCCGCTGCTCCGGTGCCGCTTCTCCGATGCAGCTGTGGCGAGTCCTAGCACGACCAAACTCGACCCGCTCCGCTTCGTACACGCTCTCGTTGCTGTCCTTCCCAGTCGGTTCCTCGCTTTCTCCCTCGTTGATCTTAGGGTTCTTGGTCTGAGAATTCTCGCGCCGAAGGGTCAACCAGCCCANAAAAAAAAACGGAAAATAATTGACGACACAAGAGATGTTTGTCCGTGCGTTCGATGCCGTCCGCATGCTCCGGTTCCGCTGCTCCGATGCCGCTGCTCCGGTGCCGCTGCTCCGGTGCCGCTTCTCCGATGCAGCTGTGGCGAGTCCTAGCACGACCAAACTCGACCCGCTCCGCTTCGTACACGCTCTCGTTGCTGTCCTTCCCAGTCGGTTCCTCGCTTTCTCCCTCGTTGCACTTAGGGTTCTTGGTCTGAGAATTCTCGCGCCGAAGGGTCAACCAGCCCAATCAGCTCGTCACCAACTGTCCCCGCCTCCTTTGATGGCGAAACCAGGTTACTGAGACAGTACAGCTACCTCTAGAAACCTAGGGCCGTGTACATAGTGCCCGTCCACCTTTCTGATGGCGTCTGCCTCCGCGCACAAACATGAGATGGATATTGCTGCCTACACCGACGGCCTGGAGGCCCGCGCATCTATCTGTATCTTTGTACCTGACGCACCACTGCCGACCCAACTCCACCACTACGCACGCCTCGCGGCGGGTGCGCCGCAGCAAGACGGTATCGGTCCCTCGAGGGTGAATCTAGCCCTGCTCTCTCACTAGAAAGACCCCCCCCCTCGCTATGGGTGCCGCCGCCCGGTGTTTGCCATCGGGGTTGGGTTTTCGTCGCTTGGCAACGACGTTATAACACAAGCCAATTCACTTCGTGAACTCCGCAACCAGGTTATCATTTTTTTTTTAACCTCTGTTTTTTTTTTGGCGGTAACCATAATGGTTGTCGAGTGGATCATGTTGTGCGGGGTGGAGAACCCGCACTCCGCGCGAAAGGGGGATGATCGCACCACGTTGTGTTAAAATGGTCAAGCACCCTCGA